AAAACATATAAAATAATATATATAGTTAAAAAGCTTATTAAATTTGCGAAAAATCCTACATACTCGGATTTTTAATCCCCAGAACAAATTTTGCGCAAAAACATAGACTTTTAGTACACGTATTGCTTATAATTAGACTAGCTAAGCTGACCAAGCTGACTTAGTGCATGTTTTAGTTTTTGTATTAATATGTTTACGACTTATTCCAATAATATCAATTATAATATATAGTTAAAATTTCTATTAAATTTTCTAAAATTCTGCATACTCCATTTTATCTTATGTTCATATTTCATTTACTAGTGAAACATATGCATGTTTAGAAATATCTTTCGCGAAGAATACTTCACCTTTATTATTCTATAAGAATTTGTATTAATTATATATATATATATATATATATATATATATATATATATATATATATCCACCTTTTTGATGGTTGGTTATTTCTACAATTAGAACTGCCTTAGAGTAAATGAAACAGTTCGTTGGCTATGGAGCTCCTCTTTTCGCATGCAACGAATTCTATTTTGACGCATTTTGTGCTTTGTACTCGCTCTAAGAATACACCTCACTATATATATATATATATATATATATATATATATATATAATATATATACACTTGTGTATTTTATGTTTGCTCATGTGTGTATTCGCATATGCACACTTGAAAACACGCAGGATAGAAACACATTTTCCTACATTGATACCGAGCTCGCTCATATCTAGATTTAATTAACTTCTCGCAGGTGAAGTTTATGTTTTCGCCAGAAAATCCGATTTGCTAAGTTTATTTTTTCTCTCTTGAAACATTTCAAGTCATTCTGATCGAATGAGACCAACTTTGGAGAGCATATAGAAAGTAAATAATACAGAAATAGAAAAAGTGGAAAGCATAAAATACTTAGGACTGATAATAAATGCTAAAACTGACATGGACAGAACATATAAACAAAATAAAAAGAAAGAAAAGAAATTAATCGGGGCTTTGAAAAGGATCCACTATTTTATAAAAAAAAAAAGACTAGTGGTGTATGGCATCGTGCCTTAAGGCAATTGCTGGAACTTCCATACCGTAATGAAATATTCGAGAAATTTTAAATGTTTTCAAATATATTATAAAAATACTGTAACTTTCATTATTTTTGCTATCTTTTGTTATATCTGAGCAAAATCAAATGTAAAACATAAATCAATTTATCTCCAAACATTAACAATCGTCATTTCATTTCGAATTCAATTTCAAAAAAAATAGTTGCCTAATAATTTACACAAAATGAAAAAGTGCTTCGCGTATAGTCACAGTCTAAACGTATTTGCGAACATACAAAACACACACACATCAATTTCTTCTGAGGTATGCCAGTAAAATATTCAGAAACCTTCAAAACGTCGAGAAATGCAAAAATTTTCATTTTCGATTTTCGGCCCATTACTATAACTTTCCTACGGGAAGTTAATAATTCTTAAAACGCAAATACTACCTATAATTTTACATGGAATAACAACATGGAGCCAAACAACTAAAGCTAACCTATAAATGACACACAGAGAATAATGAATAAAGCCACAAAAATAGCATATAATTTTCCACATATAACACCCACCAGATACTTACAGACAGAAACAAATAATCTTTCACTTAAAAAAATAATATAAATAGAAAAATGCAAATTAATATACAGAATTAAAACAAGTACAACAATAGACACAAATCAATATATACATGAACACTAACTACACTAGACAACACAGCAATTTTCACATTGAACACAATAGAAAGAAATTGAGAGAAAATGTCATATTGAGCGCTAGTAAAATATATAATGAATTGCCAAACGATATTAGGATGACCAATGATGACGATAAATTTAAAAGCAAAATAAAGAAATACTATAAGGAATTTGAAGACTAAGAAGACTGAAGAGTTATATAAAGATAGAGATATTTTAATTATAATAGATGTTATATTAATGAAATGTATATATATAGAATATGAAAACTGTTTTCATAATCTCTCATACCAGGCACCTCTGTGTGTCTGAGATATGAAAATAATTGTATAGGATAAATATAAATAAATAAATAAAATAAAAATATGAGTGCGTGTGTGTAAGACTTTTGACCCTTTGTCGACGTTACCTCAAAAACAGCTAAGCCGATTTCAAAAAATGAACTTTTTTGAAATCGAAATTTTTTTTCGATCCGGTTAGTGTCGGTTCTCCGCCGCTGACAATGCGTACAAGTTACATAAGACAAGAGAGGAGCGCACCGTCGGACGTCTCCACCGTAGAGACTCCTAGTATTTCAAGACGTTGCCACGACAAAGGTGCATCTTCGACATTATCGGAGACAATTAATTAAGAATTGAATGAGTCCAGTAATTAAAAAAAATATTAATATCATGTTGTGGAGTGAACTAAAAATAAGTGATGCTTAAGAAATGTTTAACAATATTAAAATACGAGTGAATATTACATTTGATACTTTGTTATTTTTTATTTTGAAAAAAAAAATGTTGATAACAAATCAAAGTTGTGGTGACATTTTAAAATTACCCTTGATCAAATTATTGCAAATTTTTTCGTGTATTATTGTTGCACTTGTTGAATGAAATTTCTTAGTTTTTATTAATGAATTGATTATAATAATTTTATAAACAATTTTTCTCTTCAAAAAAATTTAATAATGGCATTCGTAATAATTGAAAATCTGATACACAGTATGTTTTTTACGAGTTGCTATATTTATAGTATCAGACATTTAAGTTATAATTATTGTCCAAAAATCGAAAATGAAATTTTTTGCATATTTTTACGTTTCAGAGGCATCTGAACAGTTTGACATGTTAGGAAAAATGGACGAGCGTGTATATATATGTGGGGATACAATTTTAGCCGACGTTTTTGGGAGCACCGGTCAACTGATTTGAATTATTTAAAAAACATTCGTTCCTTTTTATAAGGAGACGTGTTGATTCATTTTTTGGCGAAGACAATTAAAAAACATTTATTTGAATATTTTGATTTTATTTTAATTTTAGCTGAAGTTCTAAAGCTCGTCTATATACTTAAAATAAAGAATTTTGCAATTCAGTTTACATAATTTTTAGAAATATGAGGTAAGGTCTTTCATTCTAACTTCGCTTGATCAAGTTTTGTTTATTCATTTTGCATATAAACGTATAAAAACGTCGTCTATAAAATACGAAAAATGAAAGTGCAGCAGTATTATAAATATCTATTTATGAACATTCAATATAGTCCTCGAATATTCATTACTGTACGCGAAGTTCCAGCAATTTGTCTTAAGGCAAGATGCCTCACACCACTAGTAAATTTTTAGTGAACATTTCTCATATTCATAGATTTGTTTTCATGTAATGCATATGAACTAATAGTCATTGTGTATTTTTATATATAAAATTTTATCTTTATACTTTATAATAAATGCACAAATTTGTATTAT